TCATCAACAGCAGAGAATTGGAGAAAATGTGAACTCACAGGGTGTGGGCCACAGAAGGGTCCGAGGTTCCAACCCACCTTCTACCACGACCCTCCACATATGCCACCATCTCCCACCCCCACCTTCGAATACCCCACTGCCACCACTGTGGCTTGGCATGGGAATAGGGAGATAAGTGGCAAGAATAAATCCTTAATAGAAAGTATTTTGTGATTCTCCCTAGCATAATAGGTTTTTTTTTAAATTATTATGAACTTACTTTCCATTGATAAACATTTTCATCCTTTTATCCTCAGTGCCTGGTCATAGTAAGTGTTTAACAGTTGCTTGGTATTGTTTAGTTATTTATTTCAACGCAAATATCCCAATATACAAAAATCAAAAATAAAAGGATTGCATAGGAAATTTTAAGCTTCTGCTAATGTGCATTTGGATTTTTTTAAAGTATATTTTAAATTTAGTAAGGTAGTAACAAAATTGCCCTGAGTCCCCCTCTAGACTTTTTTCCTATGTATTTTTTAATGTTTTATTGTTGATCTTTAGAATGACAGACTTTTCAAGGTGAAAGAGACCTTGCAAATGAAGAGGGAGGGACTAAGCAACCCTCACAGACCCTGCCTGAGTCTCCCAAGCATTTGACTTTCACAGGCATACGCTTTGACCTCCCTCATCCTGGATCCTGGTTACCTCTATACCAACCAAGCCCACAACAAAACAAAACCTTCATCCTTGGCAGGCAATGAAACCAGAACAGGAGGAGCTGTCCTTGTAAAAGAGATGAACACTGAGTGCCCCGGACAGCTGCCTGTGTGCCCACCGACTGTGCGCAGGGGGAGGCAGGCCTGGGGAGAGAGCAGGGCTCTCTGGGCCTCCTCATAGCACAGATTCCTGAGCTGTTCCGGGCTCGGGAAGGGAGCCAGCCTCCATCCCCTCCCCCATGCCCTCCACATGCTGCTGCCTGAAGCCCAGGCCCCAGGATGGGGCAGGGGCAACTGGGTGATGTCATGGAAATGGAACAGGGGAAGAAAGGAGTTCAGTTAAGCACCGGACAGCAGGACCTCTTTCCCAGCAGGCTCTGCTCCTACCTTACAGCTTCCCCTCCCTCAGATTCACTCAGCAGAGAACAGGGCCTTGAAACAAGCTCAGGTCCTGGAAGAAATTAAAGTGCCTCCAAATCACATTGGAGACAGGATGTGGGATGGTTTGGAAGGCATGGTAGCTCAGTGCTTTGGAAAATGGTGGAAGGATCCAGTACAAGGCTCCTTCTAAATCTGTCCATCTCCTCCTTCTCTTTGCACGTGAAAGAGCCCTTAATTAATCCCTTATCATTCATTCTCCATTCTTCCCTATCTCATGCTAATGAGTATCCCTTGGTACAGTGAATAAATGCAGCCCTGGACTTGGAGGCCTGGAGGCCTAGTTTCTAATCCCACCTCTAGGCAAGTCATTTAATTTGCCTATGTCTCAGTTTCCTCATTTGTAATATGAAGGGTCTGACCTCCAGCTCTAAATCTGTGGTCCTAACATCTGTGATCATTTCATGCTGTCTTTGACCCTAACGTGCCTTCTCTCCTTCCCTCCCTGAAACCCATCCTTTGGATACTTTGTGAATGGGTCCCTCAGCACCCTGACAATTGGGTGATCTCCACTACATGTGCTTGGTCAAATCTGTCAGGTTTCCTCACGGTTATTGTCTTTGGTGTTCTTTATACTCTTCTATAAGCATGTCTGGGATGGCGACATTAGAGCCCAATGGCGGTTGGTGGCTCTCATGTGACGGGGAAAAGTTTGTTATAAAAGTCCCAGAATATCTTTTCCACCTTTCCTCGGTTCACTATCCTTCCATTTTCATTCTTGGATGCTCTCAGTCAGTCAATAAACATTTACTCAGTGCCTACTGTGTGCCAGGCATTGTGCTGAGGGCTTAGTTGGAGTGCTTGCCAAACTTTCTCTACCTTTCACTATTTCTCTCTGCTAGAGGAAGCAAAGCTGCTCAGAACTGTCCATCATTGCTCTTTCTAAAGTTTTACAAATGAGTTTATATTCATGCCCATGCTTCAAAAAAAAAATGTGTTGAATTGAAATTGAACATGATATCAAAATGAGAAGCAACCTGGAACGGTGGGTCAAGGGCTGCTCTCTGAATCAAGAAGACATGGGTTTGCGCCCCACCTCTGTATGTACTCTGTGTGGCCCTGGGCAAATGGTGTCATCTGAAGGCTCCCCAAGATCCCTTATAAGACTGTAAGTTGTAGAACAATTGCCAATCTGTGTTGATGGAGGGAATTGTCTCATGGGAAGTCCTCTACAACAATGAGATTGCAGGTCACCGTTCCCCAAAACAATAACTTTTTTCCAACTGATATCTGCACGAGTTGCAGCAGAGGTAGAGGGTAGGTAGGAAGCAATTACAGTCCAGGTGTGTGGTAGTAAAGACCTGCCCAAGAGTAATGGCGGTTGGAATGGTGACCATCCTAAGTTCTCAGGACTCAGTTGCCACATTTCAGGAAGGACGTTGGAGAGGATGCAGATGAGGACAACCGGGACAGGGAAGGACCTCACATTCAAGCCATAAGAGAATGGGTTGAAGGAAGTAGGAGTATTTAGCCTGGAGGGGAAAAAAAAAAGACTTATGGGCAATATGGTAGCTGTCTCCAAGGATCTGGAGGGCTGCCTTATGGAAGAAGCATGAAATGTGCTCAATCCTCATCCCAAAAGATAGGAGCAACGGGTAGAAATTTTGAAGAGATCTGGCCTCAGACAAAACACTTGACACTTTCTAGCTGTGTGACCCTGGGCAAGTCACTTAACCCCAACTGCCTAAAAATTAAAAAAAAAAATGAAAATTAAAAAAAGAAATTTTGAAGAGGTAAAAAGAGTCTCGACTTGAGGGAAAACTTCTTAACAATCCGAGGTGTCCAAAAGTGGAATGAGACGTTGCCAGGGATAGATTCTCCCCCTCCCTACCCAGAGAAGAAGGGGGTGTGAACACAATGTGAAAGGCTATTTGTTGGGGTACCCACTATTTTTTTTTGGTGAGGCAATTGGGGTTAAGTGACTTGCCCAGAGTCACCCAGCTAGTGAGTGTTATATGTCTGAGGTCAGATTTGAACTCAGGTCCTCCTGACTCCAGGGCCAGTGCTTTATCCTTTGCACCACCTCACTGCCTCAGGGTATCCACTATTGAAAGGGGATTCTTGGTTGAACATGGATTGAACCAGGTGGCTTCTGAGGTCCTTTCAGCTCTGAGGGTCTGAGATTCTATGACTGAGATGCAGGTCTTCTAGTCACGCGGGAATTTGTCATTTTTGTTGTTTCAGTCACGTCCAATTCTTCATGACCCCAACTGATTTTTCTTGACGAAGATACTGGAGTGGTTTACTGTTTCCTTCTCCAGCTCATTTCACAGATGAGAAAACTGAGGCAAAGGGGGTGAAGTGACTTGAACAGGGTCATACAGCTAGAGAATGCCTGAGGTCAAATTTGAGTTGAGTCTTTCTGACTCCAGGCCCAGGGCTCTATCCACTGCACCACCTAGCTCCTAATTCTGCACAGTCCTGAGGCTCTGGATAGAGAATAGCTGATCCTTTCTGGGAGATGGCCCTTCACCCTAGAATCTGGAGCCTAGAGGCCCCATTTCAGTAAGCAAGTAGGCTCTTCTCATAGAATTGTTGTCTCATCATCTCATATCCTCGTCTCTCTCTAGAGGTTGTTGACTCACTCAGAAGGAGCTCAGCAAACTCATTATCTTCTCAACGTCACAAAATTAAAAATGAATACCATAATGATAATACCTTAAGTTGTCCAGCACTTCAAGAAGCCCCATTACATTATCTCATCTAAAAGGTTCACAATATCCTGGGTCTAGAGCTGAAAGAGACCTCAAAGGCCATTTGGACCAACCACTTCATTTTACAGATGAGGAAACTGAGGTCAAGCGGGGTAATGACTTGTGGAGGGCAGACAGGTACTAAGCAACAGAGCTTAGATTAGAACTTCTGTCCTGGGATTCCAAGGTTAGCCCATTTTCCATTATGCCGTGCCTGCCACAATTACCCCTACAAGATCAAGACAGTGGGTGTCATTAACTCTTCTTGATAAATGAAGAAATTGAAAGTGTAGCAGAAAAGCTCTGGAGTCAGAGGATCTGAGTTCACATCCTGTCTCTGATGCTTGCCCTACAGATTTGACGTAAATCACTTAACCTTTTCAAGCCTCAGGCCTCAGTTTCCTCCTCTGTAAAATGAGGGAGTTGGATCAGATGACCCCCGTGAGATGCCTTCCAGCCCTAGACCTGTCTTCCTGTGTGTGACCTTCGGCAGATTGCTCACTCTCTCTGGGCCTCAGTTTCCTCATCTATAAATAAGAGAATTAGAATGGAAGGCCTCTGAAGGCCCTCTATTTCCATGAGCCTATAAAATTACACAAGGCTAAGGAACTCATTCAAGATCATGTGGCTTTATTGTGTCGTTCCGTCGTTTTAGTCATGTCCGACACACTCAGGCATGACGCCATTCGGGGTTCTCTTGGCAAAGATATGGGAGCGATTTGCCACTTCCTTCTCCAACTCATTTCACAGATGAGGAAGCTGAGGCCAACGAGGTTAAGTGACTTGCCCAGGGTCACACAGCTAGTAAAATCTGAAGCCAGATTTGAACTCAGGAAGATGAGTCTTCCTGATTCCAAGCCCAGTGCTCTATCCACTGTGCCCCCATCCCGTGGCTAGTAACTGTCAGAAATGAGGTGAGAGCTGAGATCTCTTGACTCCTAGGCTAGTGTTCCTTATACCGTTGCATAGCATTGCCTCTGTTAATAGGGACATTCCATCTCCGAAAGTCGACCTGAATACCCAGCCCACCTTCGGTGCCTGGGTGTGTGTGTAGGTGTCCACACATGCACATGTGCAGAATACAGATAACATGATCTCATAATCCATCCACACCTTTGAAGCTCAACTTCCCAAAGCAGCCAGTCCCTGACCTTGTCCATCTGCCCCACAGTGTGACGGCATCACCCTGGACCTCAAGGGCACCTTGCTTGAGAGCATCGCCATACTCAACATCCCCAGCGCATATGGAGGCACCAACCTCTGGGGAGAGGACAAGAGACAGCGGAGGGTGTCCCTACTAGAGAAGAAGAGTTCAGGGAACTCTCGGAGAGCGACGATCACGGACCCCAAGGAGCTGAAGTTCTGTATCCAAGGTAAGCTGCCGTTCTAATAACACTCCCCATTGGCCAAGGGCAGCTGGAGGACGTCGATCATCGTGTTAGAGTTGGAATGCCCCTCAGAAGGCAGTCAGGCCGAGGGGGAGGGACAGAGAGTGCACCTGTGACTTCATGGATGTAGGAGAAACTCCCTCTACCGATGTAAGTTGGCCCCTGATTTAGAGAGTTGCCAAGAGCACTGGTTAGGTGACTTTCCCAGGGTCACACAGCCAGCGTGTATTAGAGTGTGGAACTTAAACCTGTGTCTTCCTAACTGTGAATCCAGCTCAGTTAGTCAGACACATTGCCTCTCAAATTTCCTATTGAAATCTTGGGCTTCATTAAAAGATACCTAACAGCCAGAATATGGAAGGGGATCCACAGGTGGGGAGCCTGTGGCCCTCTAGGTCCTCAAGTGTAGTCCTTTGACTGAATCCGAACTTCACAGAACAAATCCCCTTAATGAAAGGATTTGGTCTGTAAAACTTGGACTCCGTCAAAAGGCCCTAGAAGGCCACATGTGGCGGCAGGTTCCCCACCCCACCGACATCTGATTTGCAGAGATTCATTTTAGGAAGGATATCGGCAAGCAGAGACAGCTCGGTGTAGCAGATGGAGAATTGGTCTCGAAGTCAGAAAGACCTGGCTTCCAATTCCACGTCTCCTGTATCCTGGCTGTGTGACCCAAAGCCAAGAACAGTCTGGAGTTCCAAGTACCAAACTCTGAAGGGAACCAGAGGCCGTGACCTGTGAGGAACACCTAAAAGCAACAGATACACTTAGCCTTGAGAAGAGGGGACTTAAGAGGGACAGGATGGTTTTCTCTGAATGAATAAAGGAATGAATGAAAAAGAACTTATTAAGCCCTTAAAGAAATATTTGAAGGGCTATCCTGGGAAAGAGGCTGAGACATGCCATTGCTGAGCCCAGAGGACAGAATGAGGAATAATAGGGTAGAAATGACAGAGTCAGATTTGGGCTCGATGTAAAGTGAAACATCCTACTGGGTCACCTTGGAAAGTGAGAGGATCCTCAGATCATAGATCGAGAGCTCAAGGGACCTCAAAGGCCATTTAATCCAGCCCCCTCATTTTATGGATGAGGAAACTGAGGCCCAGAGGGGCTAAATGGCTTACCCAAAGTCACCTAGGTAGTCAGCATCAGAGATAGCATTTGAACCCAACCCCCAAGGCTCCTCTTCTTCCAGTTCGACATTCCCAGTTCCTTCAAGCAGGCATCCTGTGGCATTTTGTCCCACTGTCTTCCCCATCTTACTTGCTCATGTCTCACTGTAGCTCTAACTGGTCAATGTCTCTTCTCAGATACCTGGAGAAGAAAAGTCATCAGCTGACTGTTTTCTTTAGACAATGAAAATCATCGCATCCCTTGAGGAAGTAGGGCTTCTGGTCAGTTTCTGGTCAAATCAACTTCTCTTTTTCCTTGGAGTTTCTGAGCGCCTCTCTTCCCCTTCTTAAAGCAGGAGGTGACTGACCTAAGATGACACCATAAGCTAATTTGCCTTCCCAGTCATGCACAGGAAACTTCAAATCTATATTCCCCTCCCAGACCCCATCCCTAGAATGTGCTTCAGGGCTAAAAATGAATCTACTTCCCCTTCTTCCCCAGAGCGGCCATATAGGGCAGTGCTTAGCCTCAGGATCTCGTGTCTAATGAACTTTTCTCCACTGCTCTGAAACTGTGATCCGAGGAAGCCAAAATACAGTCTGACTCTTCCCCTTGAGCAAAATAACTGAGCAGAATTTCTTCAATAGCCTCTTGATTCCAATGCAAGAGACCCTAAGACGGTAGATGAAAAATTATGGCCCAATTGCTTTCACTCAAAAAGTGACCCCACTACATATAGTGAATGAGATAATTGCTGACACCCAAGTTCCCTACCACCGAATGAAATGATCTCATTCATTACAGTGGATTCATATCCCTTTTCACTGTCAGGCGATCACCACCGCAACTACCCCAACTGGGACACTGATGGAAAAGAATAAGCCAAAACCCTCTGTGGGTTTGCAAAATCCACTGGTTCAACCTGAGGTGCTTGTCTGATAGATTTGGCATATACTTTCTAGGATGCCTCTCCAGTGTTGATTATTGTTTACCTTAACTAGTCATTAATTTTCTCAATTGAATGAAAGCTCCTTGAGGTCAAGGACTGTTTCATTTTTTTTTCTTATCAGCCACTGGTGACATAGTGGGGCAGCTAGGTAGCTCAGCGGATAGAACACTGAGCTTGGAATCGTGACTCATAGTCATGAGTTCAAATCCAGCCTCAGATATGAAGTAGATGTGTGACCCTGAGCAAATCACTTAACTCTTATGGCCTTAGTTTCCTCACCTGTAAAATGAACTGAAGGAGGAAATAGGCAAACCACTGTAGTATCTTTACCAAGAAAACCCCACATGGGGTTATGAAGAGTTAGTCACAACTGAAAAACAACTGAACAAGAGATAATCTCAGATGGATGGCAGTAAAATGAAGGCCACCTGGGAAAAACTTCTAGGGGAAGGTGGGGTTTTAGCTGAGACTTGAAGGAAGCCAGGAGGCGATGGTGAGGAAGGAGCGAATGTCAAGCATGAGAAAGAGCCAGGGAAAATACAGACTCAGGAGATTGAGTGTCACGTGAGAGGAAGAGCAAGGAGGTCAATGCCACTAGAGAGTGGAATGGTGTGAGAAGACCATTGGGAAGAAGGGGCCATGTTATGAAGGGCTTTAAAAACCAAACGTTCCATTTGATCCCAAAGGCAACAGAGAGCCCCTGGAGTTGACTGAATGGGGGGAGGGGGTGACAGTTAGACCTGCATTTTAGAAAAATCACTTTGACAGCTGAGAGGATGGTTTGGAGTGGGGAGAGACTTCAAGCAGGGAGATCAAGCAGGAGGCCGCTGCAATAGTCCAAGAATAGTCATGAGGGCCTACACCCCAGGCTCCCTCAGTTTCACTCAGTGACTTTGCATGTGCCCCTTGGCTGCCTCTGAACTAGGCCCTCATTTTTTTTTCCCCTATGCCCTCTTACTTGGTTACTAATCAGCTCCCATGGGCATAATTACCATCTCAGATTTTTATATCTTTATTCTCTAGTCACTCTCTTCTGAACTCCAATCCCAAATCACATGACGTGTCCATAGGAGAATTCATTATATTCCTGCCCCCATTACTCTTGCCCCCCATATCCCCCAACCCTCTCCAGAACTTCCCTATTCATTTATGGGCTCTACTCTCTGGGCTCCTGTCGCCACCATAGCCCCAGAGGGCACTTGCTCTGCCCCTCCCACTTCCACCTTCTTTTGGGATGTTGCCTTCCCCCATTAGAATGTAAGTTCTTTGAGAGCTATCTTTCTTTTGGCTTGCGTTTGCGTCCTTGACACTTAGCACCATGCCTGACTATACAATAAGCATTTAATAAATGCTTATTAACTTGTTGACTTGCACCAGAGTGTTGGCCACGTCAGAGGAGAGAAGGAGGCATATACTAGAGATATTACAAAGGTAGAAACAACGGTCCTTGGCGATAGACTGGATATGGGGTGAGGGGGTTAGAAAGAGTGAGGAGTCAAGGATGACACCTAGGTTGGGAGCCTGGGTGACTGAGAGGATGCTGGTCCTCTCCGCAGTACCGAAGAAGTTTGGGAGACGGTATCGTTTGAGGGGAGAGAAAAGAGGTTTAGTTTTGGATGTGGTGAGTCCAAGATGTCTACTGGGCATCTGGTTCAAGATGTCCGTTAGATGTGAGACTGGCGGTCAAAAGAGGCTAGGACTGAATAAATAAGAATCAATAGCATAGAAGTAATCATCGAATCCATAGGCCCTGATGAAATCACCAATTGAAATAGTTCAGAGGGAGAAGAGGAAAGGGCTCAGGACAGAGCTTAAGCAGACTCCGCCTGGATTTGGCATTTGAAGCATAACATGAATGCCCACTACTGTCATTCACTGATCATCTCGTTCTCTTCTTTCTTCAGAGGAGTTTTGCTGGAGATGGTCCTGGGGCAAGTTGCCATCCAGAGGTTACTCTTATATTTAATGTTCCACAAATTGTTACACAGGTAGATAAATTAACTGCTTATTTATAACTGAATACAAAGTATTGGAGTACGAGCTTTGGTAGGCTCGCTGAAAGCATCCTTGAGACAACAACTCCAGTAGCAGACAGGTACCACATCCTGTTAGCACACGGTTTTGATTTCTTCTGCTACATCTCTGTTTTGAGAGCTCTTCATTCACATAGTTCAAAGGATTAAGGATGGTGGCATCCGGTTAAAAGTTGTTCTTAAATTTTATTCACAAAAGGAAAGACATCATGCTATGGAAAACAGAAATTGACATCAAAAATGTATACGTGTATAAAAGATGATATATAAAAGTATCTTTTAGACAGTTAAAATGGCTACAGTCTCAGAGGAAACCAGCTTTAAGATGTACAAAGTATTTTACCCATACGTTATTTCATTGTATCCTCCCAGCCCTATGAGATAGGTGCCATTATTATCCCCACTTTACACACAAAGAAACTGAGGCTGAGAGAAATTAAATGAGCTGTCTAAGGTCACACAGGTAGTAACAGTGCCTGAGGCAGGATTTGAACTCAGATCTCCTTGACTCCAAGTATGACATTCTATCCTTTATGCCACCTACTTCAGTGGTATGGGATGGATCAAATGCACAGTTGAGATGAAATTTAAAATACCTAATCAACTATTGTAGAGATTGCTTTATATTCTGATAAAGCTCTCCTCCCAGAAAATGTTAACAGTAGTTGTAAGTTCAGTTACTGAATCCTGTTCTGTTAATGTATACTTTAGAGCTTTTTATGTTCAGTCTTTCTTGTGTGAGTGTGTAGGAATATTACCTGTCCCATCCCTGACTCATATCATACATTGAGTACGCTTTTGCTTCCCTCCTTTTGAGGCACCCCTAGATTTATGAGCCTTTATCTAATTTGCTAAATTAAAATCATCCCAAGATACCTTCAAGGGCTTAA